CTTCTGTAGAGTCTACATGTCGGAAGCCTGCGGTCAGTTTCTGTTTGTAGCCTTGGCCTTGGCCCCAAGGTTGCAAATCTCTCCCACTCCATAGAGGACGGCGGGCTCCAACTTTTGCACGATCATGCTCGGACTTTTGGCTGTGTGTGCGTGCATTGCCCAGAGATTTCGAACCTTGAAACCTCAGCCGCGAGGAGATTGCACGGAATTTTCGCCTGGACCATCTCCAGAAGACGAGCCACTGGGATTTGCAGATGAGTTGAGCTTCAATCTCGCATGGTTGACCGGGTTGCAACTTCGGATGCTGTTGAATTCCTTGTCGGCCTTATAGAGATCATTACTGGCAGAAAGCATTCTGAGGAACCCTGAAACCAACTCGGGCCGCCTTTGCGGAACCCACCTCCTGCAAAGCGGAAGGTCCGACGTACTTCAGGGTTCATAGAGCTAATGCCGAAAGGCTCCAACAAAAAGACTCACAAGGGTTGAGATCTTTGAAACTGCCTACGACCTTCGACACCCGAAAGCCCTACCGGCCCTCCAAAATCAATGACTATTTTGTACGTGCAGGGAGAGAGAGTGTGTGTGTGTGTGTGTGTGTGTCTGTGTGTCCGTGTGTCTGTGCGTCTGTGTGTCTGTGTGTCTGTGTGTCTGTGTGTCTGTGGGTCTGTGTCTGTGTCGAAGCGATGTGGCTAAAACCGTATGAGGTTCATTTGGGCTGCAGCTACTTTCACTGCCCTGCTGTCACTACAGGTAGCAACCCGAACTCCCAAATTCGACACCCTGAGGCCCAGCCTAAACCCCAGACCCCAAGCACCAAGTACACAAAACCCCTAAGCCTCTACCGTGAACAGCGGAAAAGGGTTCAGCGCCTAAGCCTCTCAGGCGATGCCAAAGCTGCTGCTCGGCTGGAGGCCGCCAGGCGTGAGAAAGAGGCCAGACCGGGAGTCGGGAGTCATGGCAAGGAAACTTACCTTTGGTTAGTACGGAATGGAAGAATGGTAGTAATAGTAGTTATAATTGTACCCCATTCCTCCATTCCCTACTAACCAAAGGTAAGATAACGCCAATGTTGATCATGTAATGACAGTAATGAGACATATTGCACTGCATTAGCATATATGTTTGTGTGTATATATAGAATACATACGTTGATACGCGTGCATGTGTATGTATGTACGTATATATATATATATATATATATATATATATATAATCTGTGTATTATATATATATATATATATATTTATTTATTTATTTATACACACACATATATATGTATGTATCTTGACATGTTTGTTTCGGTACGAATGCTAGACGTGTATATGCGTACACTTATGACGTTTGCATCGAAGGTTGGCCTTCTGATCGCTCGATTCCTAAAGGGCCGATAGCTTCAGACCTCAAGCCGTACATCCAGCCAGAGCAGGGTTTGTTAACAGCGAGGTTTCTCGGAGAAGCATAATGAGGATTTAATAATCCTAGGGCTCATGCAGAGTCTCTAGATTCAGACTCCGTGTGCTTGTCGCGGTCCAGGCGAGTGACTTGTCCTGTTTCCTGCTTGTCTGAAGTCCAGGCAGAAATACGACGTGCTCGGAAGAAGGACTGGCGGGGGTGTCATGCAAGAGCGGCTAGTGAAAGTGCTAACAGGCGTACATGTTCGTGCGGGTCTTGTTTTGTAGTTGTGCATACACGTATGCATGCATTTCATCACGTACGTGCGTGTGCGTCTGAGTCTGACTTTGTGCAAATATATGCAGCAGTATGCGTACATATATATATATATATATGTTCATTTGTAACTCTCATTTATTATGTGCGTGTGTCTGTGTGTCTGTGTGTGTGTGTTTGTGTGTGTGTGTGTGTCTGTGTGTGTGTGTGTGTGCATGCATGTGTGGGAGCAGATGCCAATAGGCAAACAGACTCCCTGCAGCATGTGAGGGTTGTTGTTGTCATCGGGTGTTAACAGTAGCACAAACAAGTCGCAATCCCACAATGCCGGGACGTGCTTCTCCTGACCTCTCCCGTTACTCTCGTCTTCACGCAGAGGAGCTCCCTATATGCCTGAAGATAGCAACGCCTTCGTATGTGAACTCTTGGAACTCGCAGCCCAATGCCCTGCCATCCCGTGCTAGCGTGGGTCCAGACCGAATCTATTCAACATGCAGTTTCTGAATTTCTCACCATGTTGTCACCACGGTCAAGGAGCAGATGGCCAAAGATCCAAGGCGCAAGGTGGCTGGGCGCACGAGAATTTGCAAGACTTCTAGTTAGCTCAGTAACCCCGAGCTTCAACTTTGTCCCCCCAAGTTGTCAACACTTCCCTGAGAGCATTCTCAAGCTTTGAACGCTCAGCTAGCATATGCTCGCTTTCTGACGCTCCCCGATGAATTCCGAAAGAATGAGAGACCTGAATCTCCAACACGCAACTACGGTTCTCGTGCTTCTTTGTCGCGGAGTGCTCGCACCCACTATTACGCACCCCTCGTCGTTGGCCTCAAGAGAGTTGTCAGGTGGCGTTGAAAATCGAGCGGGGACGCCGCGAAGCTGCCGAAGCCTACATGCAGGGTAACAAGGCGGAAGGATTGTCTTCAGTGCGCATATGATACTAATACTACAGGTCACGATTCCGACGATGATGATGAGGATGATGCGGATGCGGATTTTGATCATTTGATCTTGTTGTTGTTGATGATGATGATGGGCAGGATGACGATAACGACGACGGTGGTTATGCGACAAAAGATAATCATACAGGTTTGAGTGCTGCATAGGGCCGGACCAAACACGCCTAGTCAGGCACTGAATGTTTTTGCCAGGGGCTCGTTGGGGTGAGGGGCTTGGAGCTTAAGGTGTGGGGATGGTTGCCCCGATTTCCCAAGGTTTCGATTGGTTGGCTTGAGTTTAGGGCTTCCGGATTGAAAGTTTGGAGTTTGAGTGAGATTGGGGTATTGGAATCGGGGTTTACGGTTTAGCAAGTTTGAGGCATCGCAGCTTGTCCGGCTGACCAGTGCTTGATCGGGTTACTTCCCGTACTGTTTTTGGGGGAAGGCATCCTTCTCTCATTCGCAATTTTACACCAAAACGGTTAAGGGTTTACCCTAAACCCTGAACCTTTAAAGAAAAAGAACCCTGAGCCTTCAGGTGCCTAACTCGCCTTTCAAGTCTCGCCACGAGAAGAGACCAGCCGTTGCTGGCGGATGTCAGGCTGGGGAGGACGGGGAGCCGAAGAAGAGCAGCAAGCAGAAGGCCGGCTGAGGTTAGGATTTAGGAATTTTGGGTTTAGGGTTTTCGGGTGTTTATGGCTTTAAGGGTTTAGGGTTTTAGGGTTTTCGGGCTTTAGGGTTTAGGGCTTTAGGGGTTTAGGGTTTGGGGTTTTAAGGTTTAGGGTTCTAGGGTAAGGGCTTCCATACTTCCATACTCTGCTTCGCCATTCGCCGCGGTCTCTGATGCCAACGTGGAAAGGCCATTCCGATGGTGGAGTTCATGGCCGAGGATTGCACCATTGACAACAAGGTGCCCAGGGTGCACGAAACCAAGCAGGTAGAAGGTAGGCCAGGTAGGCACTTTTCGCAGCTCTCATGCAGCGGAGAGTGCAAGATTTGCAGAGGGAGCTCGATGGAGGCACTGCTTCTGAAGCAAACCAGACAGCAGCCCGCGAGACCGGTACCTGGGACCGGGACGCTCAGGAGAAGAAGGAATCAGTACTGTATGAAACACACATCACACGCGCCACAAGGAACGGAAGATGAATGAATGTGTTTGACATTTGATGAAACTGTAGTGCAGAATCAAGCTCATGAAAGCAGAAGAACTTCGGGCTCCGGCAGGAAGGGGTCGAAGTGGTCGATGTGCTTGCGATCCAGCAACAGACTCAGCTGTGAGGCAGACAGAGTGTTGCGGGGAAGATTAAGCAGCCCAATACATGGATCTGAATGACTCATGGCATTGTTTAAGAGTCCCTTTATGTATCACAACTTTAGTCGACTCATTAATGCTCCTGCACTACTCTTATGAACGACAACGACCACCACCAACACAACAGCACAACAGCGACAGCAACAGCAACCACGACCACAAACACAGCGACAGCGGCAGTGTCAACGACCACGACGACCACAACATGACAACACCAACAGCATCAACATCTTCCCGGTCCTCCACCGCAGCAAGGATGTCCATGCTAGCGAGCGCTCAAGTTGGACTGTTGCCAATTCGTCCCCTTTAAGTGGCTATACGGCTGTAGCGCATCTTCTTCATCATCATGAGCAGCAACAGCAGCAACCACACTCACAACCGCAACTACAACACCGACGGCAGCGGCAACAGCCTCACCACCGTCATCATCGTCCTCATTAGCAGTATACTTAGAATTGATGCAGGGAGATGTCGATTATAAGTCACAAAATAAAGTGTCATTGTCAGCATATAGGTACGTACAAGCCGCGCCTGAGTATGTATTTACATATCTGAGAGCCGCAATTATTTTGGTGCGTGCGGGGTATCTGTATCTATCTGTATCTGCAGCTCGACACACATGTGCGTATGTATACAGGCAATTGCATGCAACAGCGCAGCAAGATACGACCCCACCCTGCAATGGGGTGGCTAAGGCGAAGATGTCAGGGCTTGGGGCACCATCAGAGTGCCCAGGGCTCAGGCTGCGTGGGTTCCTCGCAGGAGAGCCAGAGACACCAGATTTCACACATTACGGTTTAGGGTTTAGGGTTTAGGGTTCACTATGAAGGTTTGGCGTGATCACTACGAGGGCATGGAGTGGTTGAGCGACTGCCGGACCGAAGAACAGGCTACTTGTAGACTAAAAACTCTAGACGCAGGCCGCTTCGCCCCCTTCGATGCCGCTCTCCAGCCACAGTTTTTCGGCTTACCGGTCATCTACAGTGTCAGGCATGCATACAGGTAGCTGGACCTACAAGCAGGCGTCTTGAATTTCCTGTCGCTCGAAAACTCTCACGTTTCCCGTATTAAAAGTGCCTTGAAACATGGCAGCTTTTTCCATGGCGGTTGCACAAGTCGGCGCCGTGCGCTCCTCCTTGCCCAGTGCTCCGGGCCCTCGCCGTGGAGACAGGCGAGGGCTGGCTGAATAAGCGGGATAAGACTGAGAAAGTGCGAATTGGGAGCTGTAACCTGATTTCTGCCTGGAGTTCTTGATGGCTGCATCTGGAAGTCACACCATACTCATGTTCCGCAAGATACTCGAGGGCTACTGTCGTGCTGGTCTGGGGACTGATATGAGCATCCGTCAAAACTTCGACAATCCTTTGCCAAAGGTAGTGCCACGAAAAACGATAGGAAACACCCAAACTGATACGACCAACGACAACCATCTGTTGCGACATGTCCTTGCTGCCGCATTTGTGCCTAATTTTTCCGTGTGATATGTGGCTATCGAAGTCCTGGCGAACACTTATAACTAGCAGATAATAGCAGATAACGCACAAAACTCAGAACATGAGATACGAGGCCCTCGTGGTGTGCTTTCAGAGAGGTGTTTGTGGTTTGGAGGTCAGGCCATAGAGCCCGGAATCATTTTCCGCATGTGCTTCTTCATTCTCGCTGCTGTTTTCCGACAGGTTCCGGTTATTCCAACTGTTGCATGTGCTGCAGTGCTGCAGGTACGCTGTTGCTGTTTCTCCTAATCCTTGCCGCTGCTTTCTTGGTACAAAGCTGCATTTGTTCTACTTCTGCTGCTACTTTTTCCGCCACTGCGACCATGACTACGGCCAGACCACCAATATGATCTTATCTACTACTAGTAATTACTACTCCTACTGCCACTACTACTACGACGACGACGTGCCTAATATCGGGCATGACCTGCAGGTGTTCAACGGGACTGCGGGACGGGCGCACCACCGTTTTTGCCTCCCTGATGGGGTTGGGCTGTGCTGTGCAGTGTAGCTTCAAAAGGAGTCTTGTCTGCACCTTCAGGTCATGTAATGACGTGTTTCAATCAAGGTGAATGCACATTGCTTTCGTCAGCTTGGAGCCATCAACAGCCCCAACCAAGCACAACAACCACATCGCTGGCATCGTCGACGACACCGACAACGACAACAACAACCATAAGAAGGACGACAAGAAGACTAAGAAGCAGAACAGCAACACAAACAACAACCACCTGAGCAATCAACCACCTAGCCAACCAAACCAAACCAAACCCAAACAATCAAACAAGCGAGCAACAAACTACAAACAAAGACAGGCAACAGCAAACAAAAGCAATTAAGACCAAACATCAACACACGAAAACAAACAACTGAAAGTAAGCACGAAACAGCGTCAACAACAGAAAGAAGATATCGCCAACAGCAGCAACAGCAATAATCAACGAATCAACAACCATCAACATCAACATCATCAACAACAACACCACACCAGCACCACCACTACCTCCAGCAGCAGCACCAAACCACAACCAACAACAACACCAACATCAGCCACCGCAACTACAACAAGAACACGAACACGAACACGAAGTCTTCAACAGTAGCAAGAACAAGACGAGTAAGATCGACCAGAAGAAGAACAACAACGACGACGACCACAACGACCACAACAACAACGACACCAACAACACCAACATCATCATTTTCACCATCTTCTTACCATCAACACCATCAACAGCATCAGAAGCAACATCGACAGCATCAACAAGCACGGCAGCAACAACAGCAGCCTTTATATCAGGAGCGACAACAACAGTGGTGGTGATGATGATGATGGCGGTGATGATGACATTATTGACGATGCTGGCAATGACGGTGGTGAAGGCGACGATGATGGCAGAGGATGACAACGATAACAACAAGGACAACAACAGCAGCAGCAACAACAACAGCAGTAAAACAACCAGTACACTTGCTGCTGGTGCTGGTGCTGTCGGTTGGTGGCAGTGGCATCTTAGCTGGTCCGTTGTGGTGCGTGGAAATACGGGGGAGGGGGGGGGGGTCCTGAACAACCGAGGCGCAAGTCCACCTTTGTGGCCCGGGGCGTGCACTCTCAGCTCCAAACGGTTCAAGACGTTCAGGATGTGCCCTGCACAGAGGAGGATGTTCGCCAGCAGGCGGGCAGTTTGATAGTTTTTGCACATGTTTTAACCCGTTGGCCGTTCATGATGCTGTTGCTGTTGCATTGTTGGCGGAGTATGGGGAGCAGGTACAAGTACAAGCAGGCAGTGGCAGCAGCAGAAGCCGCGACAGCAGAAGAAGCGGCAGCAGTAGCAGCAGTAACAGCAGCAGCAGCAGCAGCAGCAGCAGCAGCAGCAGGAGTAGTAGTAGTAGTAGTAGTAGTAGTAGTAGTAGTAGTAGTAGTAGTAGTAGCAGGAGTAGTAGTAGTAGTAGTAGTAGTAGTAGTAGTAGTAGTAGTAGTAGTAGTAGTAGTAGTAGTAGTGGTAGTGGTAGTGGTACTGGTACTGGTAGCGGTGATGGTAGTGGTGATGGTAGTAGCTGTAGTAGTAGTAGGAGTAGTAGTAGTAGTAGTAGTAGTAGTAGCAGCAGTAGCAGTAGTGGTGGTGGTGGTGGTGGTGGTGGTGGTGGTAGTCGTGGTCGTAGTGGCAGTGGTGGTACATAGTCGTAGCAGAAGCAGCAGGAGTAGCACCAGCTGCAGTAGTCCCGCTCCTCCTCCTGCTGTACCAGGTCGCGCTTGCCCTGACCCGCGATATGCCAGCCAGCATCATCTCCAAGGATGCAGTTGCTCAGCTCCAAGCGGCCGTTGCCGAGGCAAGGGCATTTTTCGAAAAGGCCGATGACGGACTTCAGCCACAACTTTGGCGGGAGGCCGATGTCGTCTTAGTGGGCCCGTCGCGAACGGGCAAGACCACCCTGGCCAGCTACCTGGCCAAGCTGGGTCTCCGGGTTGCCAACTACCCATTGGTGCCGGGTGAGGATCCACCTGGCCATCTTTTCGACGTGGATGCGAGGAAGGTAGCCCTTCTCACCACCGATGCCAAGCAGCTCCAAAGCATCCGCCAACAGAGGATGCTACGGATGGGCCGGTCTAGCTCCCGCTACGCGGCCATGAGTGTGATCCAAGACGAGCTGGACTGGGTCAGAATGTTCTACACGAAGACCTTCCCCGGCTTCCCAGTCGTGAACACTGCTCGCCTTGGCATTGCAGAGGCCGCAGCGATGATCCTCTCCCACTTATATGGCAGGCAGGTGGATTCTCAAACCACTACCCAGCTTGTGGACTTCATCTCCATGCTGACCCACACCCATGCAACGCAGATGTAATGCCGCTAGTTATCCAGTCAGCGCTTCGAAGAGAAATTTTCACTGCTGCTTGCACGGATGGTAAAACACGACTGCAAGCGGCGGTCTGCACCAAGCCATTGGATGACATTTTCGGGCTGATCTGTTAGTGCCCAAGCTTGTAAGCTTCAAGCTCGCCGGGGAAGGTGTCTTGGAGCCAGGGAGAAGCATAGTTCCAGGTGTCCCGAGGTTCCATCGGGCACTAGTGCAAGGAATTCGAGTTCAGACTTTCTTTTACTTGCTGCTCCGTTCCTCGCATGGCCATTGGATTGTATCTCATGGCCTCGTCCTCTGGTGCACGGATTCACGGATTGACATGCTGTTTCAAATTAATACTCTTGATGTCCAGTTGTGATCACGAAGTATAGTACTAGTACTAGTGGTCAAAGGCTGTTACCGTTCGGTTGTCGTATTGATGATGATTATGACAATGACAGCGCAGGGGAGAGTGGCTGTCATTGGCCATGGTGATTGTTGTTGTTGTTGTTGGCGGTGGTGGTTGTGGTGGTGGTGTTGCTGTCGCTGTCGCTGTTGCTGCTGCTGATGCTGTTGATGATGATGATGATGCTGCTGCTGGTAGTGTTGTTGTTGCTTATTTTTCTTTTGTTTTTTTTTTTTTTGGGGGGGGGGGGAGGGGGTTGGGGTTGTGGTTGTGGTTGGGATTGGGGTTGTGGTTGTGGTTGTGTTTGTTGGTGTTGTTGTTGCTTATGTTGTGGTTGTGGTTGATGTTGTTGTTGTGGTCGTGGTTGTTGTTGTTGTTGTCGTTGTTGTCGCTTGTTGGTTGTTGTCGTGGTTGTGTTTGTTGTTGTTTGTGTTGTTGTTGTCGTTGCGTGCGTACATGTGTCTGATGCCGACGAGGAAGATGCCGATAGTGAGGATCTTGGTCAAGCTGGTACGGGTCATGAGCAATTAGATGTCAAGGACTTGTTTTGTGAGTTGATATCCTCGGGGAAGACCAAGACGACGATAATATGCGATTGTCTCCATGGTCACGGTTCTGACATTCGCTGTTAAACGCATGCTCGGAGTTTTTAGGACATCGTTGTTTATCGTTCCATCAAGCATAGTTGAAATCGCGGAAGTGCTCGCGCTGGCGGGAAGTAGACTTGTCGATTTCGTTTGAGTGTGAAGACTTGCAGGCAGAGTAGCAACGAGAGGAGCAGGAATGGAGCAGCAACACGGCTTCCATAAATATTTTTTGACAGTGGCATTCCAGGCCAGAGCCTTGCATGCTGCCAGTCCCACTGGCATGGCGGCTTTAGCAAGTTTGCTTGACCTCTTCTGGGCATTCGAAGGAGAGGAGCGCTCACAAACCTGCCGCCGCAACATGCTCAGAGCAGCAACCCTGCTAAGCGCGACAGGTGGGAGCTCTTTCTTGGAAAAAGACTTTCCCACCTGTTTCAGGAGCTTGCTGCTAGGAGACCGACAGAAATTTTCGCTCACGCAGCAAGAGCGCTAAACGCGCCGAAAGGGATTTTAAGGTGTTGACATCGTTGGATGCGAACTTGATATCTTGAGCTGGGTTTCACTATGATTAGCTTCTGCTGCTTGGTCGAGAAAACTGCGAATGCCGGCCACCACGGCCACGCGACGCGGTAGGTTCTGATCCGTACGCAGACATGGTAAAGAACCGCCGAAAGAGGTGACAAAGGCCGACTCTGTTTGCAAGCAGCTGAACCTGCTTTGGGGAGCTCAAATCGCTTGGCACCACTTTTCGTTCAACTTCAATCGCTCTGAAAGCCATGCCAAGGTCGATGAAATGCTGCACCTCCGACGGTGGCAGGAGAAAACACAGAAGCCCAAGAACAACTCTTTGAGAAGTGGCAGGGTCCCCGGTGTGCTGCCGCCCGGCTTTCTTGCTTCAACCATGCTTCACCGCATCCAGCGCCCCACAAGTCGCAGCCCCGCAGCATCGAGGCGGCTCTACGGGCAAGCTCGAGGCATGGGGCGAGGATGTGCACTTCTCCAGAGTGGCTATGACCCGGCTGCAGATACGTTGTGCTCTTGCAATCTTTGAGCTCTAGGGTCTTTGATTGTAGTTGTGAGTCATGGCGCGCATTGAGATCAGCTCAGACGGATACTTACAACCCTCACGGACCAAAAGTCTGCGATGTTCCTTCGATGCTTCCACAAGCAGCAAAAGCCACGACTTGCAGACCTGCCGCTGGCTCTTCTCCAGCTCGGCACTGGGTGCCGTCTCACTGGAGGCACCTGCGGCTTAAGGGCTTTAGCTACTGCTGCCATCATCTACCAATATGGGCACCTTCTGCAGGTCCAGGCTGGGTTGATGCTGGATTTTCTGAAGTGTCGGACTCGGAAGTCTCGGAAGTTCAGAGCTTTGTGGAATCGGCTCGCGCAAGTTCGAGAAGACTCGAATTGGGCTCAGTACAAGAAGGGGGTTGTGGGGTCGGTGGTGTTGCGATGACCCTTCGGCTCTACAACTCCAACACGAGAAAAGCAAAGCAAAAGCCCTCACTTGCTGAACCCTTTCAGCCCCTCTCCATGGGAGTTTGCGAAAATAGGGGACCCTAATATAGTACCCTAAATAGTAGGTTATAAGGACCCTAAAATGAGGTACCCTTAATTTTAGGAAACTCCCCCATGGCCCAGGAGAAGCTGGCCCTGGCAAAGGCGGGAATGCCACATAGCCCAACAACCCGCATGACACAGGAGTTTCCTACAATTAAGGGTACCTTATTTTAGGGTCCTTATAATCAGGATCCTACTATTTAGGGTACTATATTAGGGTCCCCCTGTTTCTTCGAGGTGTTCCGAACACCAGCAGCACAGAGGTCATGCTTGCGTCTTTGCATCACGTCCTATCCTGAATAAGTCTGACCATGACGACATAGAACCTCGCTTTGATGCAGTGCCGTAGCGGCAGAAGCAAAGAAAAGACGAGTGTATAGGCGACACGGATTGAACATGTTTCATTCGAGGTCGACAGTTGAAGCTGACTCGTAGCGCAGATTCGACCTGTCCCCGAAGGCGAGACGAGATGGCCAACGGGCGTGAAGCCCAGAGCAAGCCGACTCACCATGAAGACAACATACTGGTCCTGCAGCTACTTTCTTGGCATCGTCTTCCTGACCACATGTCGGTGCCGGTTCATCATCGTTGTCACTGTTATTATCATCACCATCATCATCACTGTCATCACCACCATCTTTAATAATCATCATCATTATGATCGCTGTCGTCATCGTTATCATCAGGACACAACTGTCATCTTCAGCTGTCATCATCTGCATCGTTACCATCTAAACAAAGCATCAGAAGCAGCCGCCTCACGTCCGTGATGTGAGGCCGAGAAGATCCGACAGAAGCTCACAAACATGAGGAGCTCTCGGGGGCTCCCGCCTTGTCCCATGCTGGAGCCTTTGGTACCATACTAAAAGGATCATGGGACTTAGTAAATAAGTTATAACTTATAACCTTACTTACTAAGTCCCATGAGCCTTTAAGTACCCTTGCGAGTCTCAAGGTTTTGTACGAATGCTCGACGAAGAGGCCTTAACATCCTAGGCCGCTGTCCGCCCTGCTGGCGCTGGTCCTGGTGTGAGTTTTTTGCAATGGCAACGTATCCAGAGAATCTTGATGCCGCAGTCACACCAAGAACAGTGCCAAAAACAGCAATAAGAAGACGAAGAATAAGAAGAATAATGGTGTGCACATGTGCATATCCGACGTATTTCCAGGACGGAGTGTCCTCTCTACCTCTGCCGAGCCTATGGCTTGGTCGACAGCCAAGGAAATTCCGCCTGGGCCTTGGTCAGTTTTGTGTTGGGCTGTCGGAGTTTGGAGGTTTCCTGCTGAGAGCAGGGTCATCGTTGAGGCATTTGGTGGAGGTCCGAAAATTCGCAAAGCTACTCGCTATGGCAATCAAAAGCTGGCAATTCTACCATGCCAGCAAGCCTCAACAGCACCAATGAATAACGGTTCAAGGCAGTGCCACAGGTACGATGCACCTCACAATACTCCATGTTTTCTAGACCCTTTTCCGTCTTCACTGTGTTGCTTTCTGCTGAGATGGAACGAGAACAGAAGAGAGCAGCCGGCACAGTGTAAAACGTAACGGCGGCCGGGCTCCCCCAACTCATCCGGCAGATACTTGCCCGCTCGTCCTACGACGAGCATTCGGACTCGGAATACGCAAGCCTTGCGAGCTCAGACGAGGCTCAGATGTCGGATTGCGAGTACTAAGTGTGATCAAGTGCTTCATTCAGGAGGACTAGGTAGGGCTTTGGGACATTGTATATTTTCCCTTATTAGGCTTAAGATGATCTTACCTACAAATATCTTTCAATGGCTTTAAAAGCACCTCCTAGAGGAGGTTCCTCTGCGTCAGGGTGTCCGAGTTGAAGAGCCCTGGGGGCCCTTGAGGAGTCCATGAGCCCACACCTCGGATCTCAAGACACCCTTGACAGCATCCACGGAGAAGTTTGCAGGCTCCTTCGACCTGGAATGGTCAAGGCTCCAAAAGAACCCAAACCCTGAAAGCCTGAACCTCCTTAAGCCCAAGCTTGAAGCCCTGAAGCCACCGTTGTTTAAAGCGACCCTAAGCTTCCCGAAAGAATGCAGGAGATAACTCACAGCCGCCGAAGCAGCGGTGAGGAGAGTTGGAGTGCTTTAGGGTTTTGGAACTTTGGGGTTTTGGGAGGCTCAGGGGCTCGGGTTTTGCAAGGGCTTCAGACTCTGGCAGACTTCGGCGCTCAGTCTTTGGTCGCTATCTATTTTTTGTTGCCGCTTGTTGTGCCGTTTGGGCGACGGGCCTTGGCTTTGCGACTTGAGGGTGGAGGGCTCAGCCCTAGCACCGCGTTCAGATGGGTCCAATGAGCTGGAGTGGCACAGAACGCAAGAGTGTGAACCCTGCGTGCGTAACCTCATGCACACCCCCCAATGCGATTTGGGATCCTCCTACGGTTGAGGATACCAACCCTGCATTACCTTAAGGAACCTAGACTATGGGAATTATGGTATATATTCCCTATTATGGATAATGCAGGATTTATATCCTCAACCGTAGCAGCTCTAGTCCGATGTTTTTGTTTTTGTTGCAGCAGGCCTTTACTTCGCCTTCGGCTTCAGCATCGGTCTCCTTCAGTCGAAAGACGCTCTCTCGAAATACCACCAGAATGACCACCACAAGGCATGTGCTCAGGGCTTGAGGACTTCACGCGTTCCTTGTCTGAGAGAAGTACGAATAGGTGCATTGTGCAGGTTATGGCTTGCGGTGCTCACGGGCCCTTTCCCCGCTTGGGCCAATGCTTCAGAACCTGTCGGCAGAAAGCATCCCAGTAAAGTACAGGCAGGATGCCACAAGCGGAGCAGCCGAAAAGTAGCAAAGTGCAGACACAACCACGCAGAACCAAGCCGACTCAACACAGAGAACGCCAGAAGGGCTCTCCAGGTCCTTGGGCTGATGTGTCACCTCGGGTTCAGACCTTCAGATTGTAAATATAAAGTGAAGCCCGTCGTGGTTCAGAAGATAGTTGTTTGCTGTCCTGGGTATATGGTGGAGAACTCTACGTTTCAGCCCTTTCATCCAAAGCCAAAAGCCCGAATCACACGGTCCACACCCAAACCCAGAGCCCTGATCAGGGGTACAATCTTCGGTCAAGCCGTGTGGCCCTCATCCTTTTGGAGGGAAGCTGAGTGGCTGCTGAGAATTATTGAATTTCGAAGGTTTGAGGCAGAGGATTGACCAGGTTATTGGAGCTCGAAAACTTTGCAGCAAACAGAAAGTTGAGATTTGAAGATGTTGAGCTTTGCTGTCAGTGTCTTTCTGGAAAACATTCCGAGCCTCTTGGGCCTTTACGAGATTTCGCTCCGATTAGGGAGTCGGGCTTCTGAACGAGACTGAACGCTGGACGCCTCAAGACTGAGCGTGCTGAAAGCGTATGCAAGAATTTCTTGCGAGTCCAGCATCCCATGATGTGCAGAAGCTGCTACGCAGCCTCGTTTAGATATCTGCCCAACTCTACTCTATACTAGCTTATGCTATTCTATGCTGACGCCTCTTAAGGCCCCAAGAGCACTTGTGGCCGAACCTGAAGTGCAGAAGGAGTGCAGCAGGTTCCGAAGTAAGGCCAAAGCCCAAAGCCCAAAGGCCCCCTAAGCCGCGACTAAGAAACCCTGGATTCATGGGGTACTCTACTTCCTTGAGTAGGCCTTAAACCCCCTTAACCCCCTAAAGGTCCCTGTGATAGATGATAAACCCCCCAAAACCCCGCATCCCTGATTTCCTAAATCCTAAACCCGAAACCGAGATGCAAAACGCATGCGTTTGGCCCTGCCGGAAGCACCGAAGTGACTGCCGCCCAGGGACGAAAAAGCATTGCCAGGACCCTCCGCCTGGTAAGGGAGTTTAGGTTTAGGCTTTAGGGCTTATAGGGTTTGTGATGAACCTATAAAAGGGGCTGTACAAGGCTCTGGAAGGTTTGAGAGGGCCTTTTGGCTTTTTGATCAAGTTGAGGAATGGTTAAGATTAGATCTTTCAGGCTGTTGGGCATTGGCTTTCAGGGTTGGCCGGAAGCCGTGCATGAGTAGATGACATGAGCTATTTATGGAGGAGTTGAGATTTTGACGCTCAGCTGTGACCTTGACATGGTGAAGGAAAACAATCGGCGGAAACGCTGATCGTGCAAGGCTAGAAGCGCAGAGCTCAGAGACCCCATAGCCCGTACAACGCTTTCTCTGCTTGATTCGGATGTGAAAGGGAGCCAATGCTGGCTTCGAGAAGCACTTCATAAGACAGTCCGATAAGAGCAAACTAGATACGACAGGCGCCAACCTTGCCTTCAGCTGGCCCGAATGCGCCATCTGAGGCACTTGCGCGGAAGGTGAAGAAATGCAAAGCCATCATGAGGGCTACCGTTCAGGCGGACAGTCAGTCCATGTGAGGAGCGATGTGGTGGTCCTTTTGCAAGTTCTGGGCAAAGCTGCAAAGGATTCTTTCTTAATGGTAGCTCCCACATTTCCGCCACACACTATGCATGATTATGCATGATTCGGCATTGAATTTGCTAGCGAGGGGGCGTCAATTCGAACGGTAAGGGTTTCACAACGGTAGCCTCGATACAACCTTTGGCCAAGAAATGCCTTGAGCCCTTGTGCCAGTGGCTGAAGATCCTCTTCCACAAGCGACGCCTTCACAGAGCAGCAGATGCCTGCTTGGCAGCAGCCTGAGACTAAATCTGATTTGGGCATCAGGGAAGACCTCACAGTCCCTATACACCTGAATTCTGAACTGTGAACCTCGACCCTACCCTAGACCCCTAACTACTCAGTGAACAGGTAGTTCTACCTCAATGTGTGTTAAACTGTTATGTATTATACTGCAGCGAGCCATCGGCTTCGTGAACCCGGAAAGCTTGGACCTACTGGTACCCGCGGCCAAAGTTCAAAAGAGCACAAACACGAGCCATTGAAGCTCATGTCGCTGTGTTTGTGTCGGTTTTCCATGACTTCGGATGGGCTGGGGCTGCCCGTGAAGGACCCGCAGACCCCACGGTGCCAGGTGCTCCTCCGACATCTCGGTGAATGGGTCCACATTCGCAGTGCTATGAAGGGCTTCCTCCAGCGCGTTAAGGTGCGAAGAGGGTGATTGCAAGGGCGCAAGAAGCTGTTTGAGGATGTGTCTGGCATGAGGTCACAAGACCGGACCCTAAACTATTACTGTTACAGTTTGGATCTTTAATTTGCACCGTGGTGTAGTCATGGCTTTACCTCAAACTGCTATCATGTAGCATCATATAGTACATGTACTTGGTCCCGGGGCTATCTCGTATCACCTGGGTGTTTTACGCATCTGCAAGGCGTCTACTTCGGGGAACCAATTATAAACGTTATATAATCTTATCAAGCTCTGTATCTTCACCTTCATATTCTTCGGCGTCCGCAGCACGCTTGTGCGCGCTCATCTTCGCACGAGTGTGTGCTTGTGTATTGCAGCTTATGTATTAGACATCTGTATACATATGCACTGGTGCGGTCTGTGCCTGTCGGTTTTTGAAGCCCAAAGAGTCTTCTGCTCACATCTGCGTCGCGCAGGGTCACGCGGGACTCGCGTAGGACTATAATATAGCGACCTACTCACCACCCATTTCCAGGGTTGCTTTTCATGCTTCCGTGGCGGGTTCAGGCATCCTCTCAGTCTTATACTAGTAGCATGCCACTTTCAAATCCCAGCGTCTACTTGGCAAACTCACTGCTTTCTTATCTTGGAATGCTTCCAAATGTAGTATATACCTCAGCGTCCGCAACAAATCCGGCACTTTGGCCTACCTGCTGCGTGCTTCTTGAAACCAGCGTCTACATGGGGTTTAGGTAATTCTGATGTGTAAATTTCCTGCTGATGTGTATTCTCCCTAAACCAGCGTCTGTCGGCATTGATGTGTATTCTCACCAGCTGATGTGAGATAACCCCAGCGCCCAGTATGAATGTGTGTGTATATATATATATATATATATATAAATATGTATATATATATATATATATATATATATATGTGGACCTATATATATATATATGTATATATATATATATATATGTATATATATATATATACATATATATGTATATAAATATATATGTATGTATGGATATATGTACACTGCAAACATGTACATATACATACATACACACACATACGTACATACATACAGAAATGAGTAGACTGAGGGGAGACAGAGAGAGAGAGAGAGAGCGAGAGAGAGAGAAGCACCAGCGTCGCATTGCCGCGGCAGCAGAACTGGGAAGGAGACGACAGTCAGACAGGACAGATGCCGTATGCAGACGCCAAATTGATCGTACTGAAATTGTAGCATGAAGCGACGTTGCATTAATGTGGTGCTATGTCGGTATAAGGGTATTCGCGATGGCATTCCACGATGCAAGTTTCTTGTGCATTCATCCAATGCCGCGAACATGCAACTGGACAGGAGAACACATCAATGGAACATTCCAGCAGTTTCAGCATTAGCATGTTATGTTTGCATCGAATCTCAAGATGAAGCACAGACTGTACATGAAGTCAGAATATGACCACGAGCACTAGTAGCAGTGCATTCTGCAATGTACTCTTAGCCTGCAGCAACTCTCGCTTGTATGTTCGTATTTGCCAGACCATCCAGCGGACGATCCGGGAGTTTCTCGCCATCAAGCACAAACGCTGCCCAGCCCACAGACAGTTTTTCGAAGCATTCGCTTCTAGCCAAGTCTTTCGAGGCAGCCTTGCAGTGAAGCTTGGACACCCAGTCGTTCGGCCCTTTGAGGCCATCTGATCGAGAAGGAATGGTGCCGCATTGAGGCCAGAATGGGTTAGGTTCAGTGCATGCCAGTCCATCAAAAGCAAGTCAGGCTCCTAGATGCTGGAAGATGTTCTGGCTACGAAAATTCCATTGCAACCGCAAGCATGACTCGGATAGCGCAGAGGCTTGTGCGGAAAGCAGCAGCGAGCCTAGTCACCACCCTGAACCAACCGATCGAAGTCCTCCCTATACCCTGAACCCCAAACCCTGAACCCTGAACCCTAACCCCTGAAGCCTAAACCCTGAACCTTAATTTAAACCGTGTCCTGTGCTCTAAAGCTTGGCAGGATCAGCACCTATCAACCCATGCACAGCACAAGGTGGAGAGTGCCATGCAGGACTGAAGCAAAGAAAGGATGCCCCTGTATACAAGTACTGTACGATGCTATATACACATATACATGTACTCATATACATATATAGTTACAAAAATAGATACTTAGATACATAGATCCATTGATGAACTCTGATCAACCGAATGTGCGTTATGTATGTATGCAGGTAATGTCTCTATGGATGGATGGGATGGGATGGGATGGGATGGGATGGGACAGGACGGGATGGGCTGGATGGATGGATGGACGGATGGATGGATGCGTGGATGCGTGGATGCATGGATGCATAGATGGATGGATGGATGGAAGGATGGATGGATGGATGAATGGACGCATGGAAACATGGATGCATGGATGAATGGATGAATGGGTTCCTAGCTAATTATATTTATGTGTAATCTTTCTGTGCATAAGTGTTTACATCTGTTTCTATGTTTAAATACAGGCATGCATACATGCGTGCAGATTTTGAACTGGGCGTAGCCCCTGAAAGGCGATGGTCGGACTTAGGGGGTTGGACAAACTTTGTGATCGATGGAACAAAAGCCCTTGCATGGCTCATTGGAGCCCCCTGCTCGGCTGGAAACTCGTAGATTCCGTAGATTCCGTTGGCGGTTGGGTCAGATTGGCTGCATCCGGCAGCGAATCGACTCCGCACCCTGGAGATTTCACGCACGAGCATTAAGCTCTCTGTGGATCTTGCTCGGTGATGATGCCAAGTCTGAAGCTACTTGGTGCTGTGGCTGAGATTATGTCGATCCCAGGCATTAGAGCAAGACTGCTAGTTAGTTCTTCTTTCTTCTTCTACGAACAGGCATCATGTTTTAAGCAATGGTGTTCGTCTTCTGGGTCGAACTTGAATTGCCCTTCGCCTCAAAACTACACGGAGAGGCGCAGCTTCTTGATGTCACCTCGTAGTGCCTCTGTATGTGTGCGGGTATTTTCAAGGAAGCAGAAGTCCTCGTCACTGCAGCTGTCGATGTGCACATCAAGAGTCTGTCATCCTGCAGCTTCATTTGTTCCAATCTTGTGCTGGAAGGTAAGGGGCTTCGGGAACTCTCTGTTTGCTGGCCTAGCATTGTGGCTCCGTCAAGCGACTCAGTACGTGTTGTTGTTTCATCGTACCAGTCAAGCCCTTTAACTAGTAACTGGTTGATCATGTTATTATGAGATAATGTTTGACCTGAAACTATGCGTGTACATATATATATATATATATACACGTGTATTTATATATGTGTATATACGTATATGTGTATGTTTGTATACCTGTACATGTTTGTTCAAATAGATACATGTCTCTCTCTCTCTCTCTCTGTCTCTCTTTATATATGTGTGTGTGTGTATGTGTGTATATATGTATATATATTACACATATACGAACACGGACTCGTTGGATTCAGCGCGCTCTTGCTCTCTCTCTCTCTCTCTCTCTCTCTCTCTCTCTCTCTCTCTCTCTCTCTCTTTCTCTCTCTCGCAATGCTTTGGTCAGAAGACCAGAAGAAATGGGTTGTCCCGACAGTGCCAGTAGAACTCAGATTGTCTCCGTGTGAGGAGACGAGTAGCAGTCAGCCCGGCCGTCCTGTTTTAGAGGTTTTGGGTTTCAGGGGTTTGAGGTGTGGACGTGGGGTTTAGCAGGTTTAGCCTTGAGGGTTCGCACGGTTTATTGTTCGGGCTTCAGGGCAGATGCTTGTGTACGTACCATAAGCCGGGAAGGCTTGGGGATTCTAATCCGGCCTTGGTTTAGTCACGGCATGCGGGTTTGACAGTGTCTTTGTCTACATGGTCTTTTGGTTGAGGGCTCTCTGACAAGTCTGACCACGGTGCTTTGATCATCGCCACTGGTGCACTAAACTGTTCCATCGAACGAGTGGTAGGCTAGGAGAACGGAGCATGTCTAGATTCCTGTCCCACTGCTCTTCTACAGTTTTGTGCACGACTACTATATGACTGTATGTTCTTCATCACTTCGTTTGCATGCGTTAATTATCTGCCAGGACCAGAGGACCAGGACGAGGGTGCTGCGCTCAGAAATGTTGATGCACGGAACGTATGGATGCATTGACACAGTCACCGTAGTAAAAACCTGTTGTAAAGAGCGTGGCAAAGCTGGTACTCCAGTATAAACAGCAGTATAGTGGTTGTCATGTGGCTTTCGGTAGCAACATCAGTCTCGCACAAGCAGAAGATGCTTCATTGAACCGCGAAAAGAAGAAGAACCAATCCCTCGGCATGATGTGAAGATTTCGGCTGGTTGCATTGTGTCCGGGAAGATACTGGGATGAGGAGGGCAACCTGGAGGTGTTAGGCTGCAAGCCATCACCCTAAACGACATTGACTTCGTGGCCACCTGAACGGCAACCTGTAAACAAACATGAGCAGGCCCTACAGCCAAAAGCCTTGCGAGCGCAGCGGTCATTATTGACACGTTAAGAACAATCATATTTACATGCTGATCATCATCGTCATAGCCAAATGACAAACATCTTCAGTACCAACACATTGATGCAGTGATACAGGACCAGTGAACAACTAATCAGAACCTAAACCCTAGAGAAGAAGCCCGCAGGAAGCGGAAAGTACTCCAGGCGGCGCTTGAGGCCTTGCAAAGAGATATTTGATTCGGGTTGGCGGTTCAGGCTCGTACTCTGGCCCTAAACCTAGCCCCAAACCCCAGAAAAAGCATTTTAAAACCTCATACTCGAAGAGTTGTTGAGGGTTTAGCGCGCGTCTCTCTTCTGAGTTGACGACTCTTAGCTTGAAGCTGTCGGCCACGAACAGATCTGCTCATCGACGGCTTGCATCACGAAACTTATGCTTGTGCATGCGACGATTGACAGCACTGCTCTTCCTTCGGGCTGTTCAGGGCCGTTGTCATATTTGCACGTAAGTTCACACCGCAAACTCGCCAAGTACACGCAGACCCCAAAGCCCTCCAGCCCTGAGCCGGCCAGTGGGCCAGGCCAGCGCAAGTTCCAAGTGGAAGATGGTGGTGGACATCTCCAGCCAACGGATCCCTGTAGCAGAAAGAAAGGCGATCATCTCTGCGTGGGCGCCTGAGCCTTCAGAGCCTTCAGGTTGTTGGTTTAGACATGAAAGGCTGTGAGCATGAGCTGTAGAGCATGCACAGAGGGGTCGGAGATGCGGGGACTGCGTTTGATTTCGAAAGCCTTCATGGATTGACTGGCCGGTTATGTTAAGCTCCTGACTACTGCGGAAAGAAGTTGTGCCAAGTGCCTGGATCTGCAGAAAACAACCCGAACTTCTGATCTCGCGCTATTGAAGGCATTTGCAAGTGAGGAATCGGGATTGAAGCATCCCTTCTGCAGACCATTCTCAAGCCAGCCTGAGGTACCATCGGCGAACACTGAAGAGACACATGCAAATTGGCAAGAGCTTCTTGCAGATCGCTTGGCTCTGAGATTCCCTGCTGCAGCTGCAGTGCAACAGGGCAGAAGTAGTAGTTGTTAATTCAGCAAGAGTAGTATATAGCTGTTACGAGATAATCGACGAATGACAATGATAATTAACTATTAAACTCAAAAATAGCAGTCACGGTTTGAGACGTGAGATTGAGAATACGAGAAATTGTAGGGTTCAGAACTGCGCCTGCTCTTTCGCAAGTGACAAGGATGTGGCTTTTGTTGGACACAGCCACAGGACTCCATACAGTATCCTCTAGGGGATGAGCATCAACCGGAGGGCCAGTGGAGGGACAAGATGTCGGAGCTGTCGCATGGTATGCCGTTTCAACGGATTTCCGGGTGTCAGGTTTTGTGTTTGTGGCTTTCAGTCATGAGAGCACATGGTCGCTTCTAAGCCGCAAGTAAACATGAGCACTGGGAATGCTTTCGGCCGTGGAAGCACTGAGGTCCAAGCTACACAAGCACACACAGACCCCCACAGACAGGCAGGCAGAGAGACCGATAACAATACAGGGAGAGCGAGAGAGGCAGATAGAGGGAGAGAGAGAGAGAGAGAGAGAGAGAGAGAGAGAGCGCGAGCGACACAACATACACGCACATACGCCCGCGCAGGTACACACAAACACACACACACACACACACACACACAACGCCGAAAGCAACTGCCGTTTCGGGTTTAGGGTGCACTCAGATCCCAAACAGTCAGCCTGTTGCGAAGGTCTTCGACGCTCTTCAGGCGAGCCGAGAATTGGATCACTACCTCAACCAGTTCCATTACGGAAACAAAGCGAGGGTGACTTGGCTTCAAGAGTTGCAATGTCGCTCAGGATTTGAGCAATAGGTGCTGGGGCTGTTGTCGTCGGATTCCGGTTCTTGCAGGTCCATCGCCATTCTGGCACGACATAAACACATTGCAACCTTAAGGATCAACAGACGAATTGAGTTGTACAGCGTTTGAGACTGTGTGGCAGAATTAAGTTAGTTGTTTTCGTTCTGCATCCGAGGAGACTTTGACACTCTTTGAGATCAAGAGGGAAGACATCGTCCTTGATCAGCAGGCAGCACGCAGATTAAAGGCTTCGCTTTGACTTGTTTGCGGCAGGCGGCAGTCAGTGTTGGGCCGACAAAGATGTGCCTGTGCGCTGTACGTGTTTCTAGCCCGTGCAGACGTACCAACATACACATACACGTGTGTAGGTATATGTATGTATGTATGTATGTAGGTAGGTATGTATGTATGTATGTATGTATACAACTATATATATATATATATATATGTATATATATATATATATATATATATATATATATATATGGTCAGGCGTCTGGCGTTCCCGGCCCCCTCCCCCCCCAATGGTATGCTCTGCTAGGGGTGCGGGGGAGGTCTGGCGTGTGCGGAAAGGGGTCGGGGCCGTTGGAGCTGCCACTGGATGGTGGGGGCTCACATACAAGCCCTTCGCAAGCAAGCCGTAAACCCTGTAACGCAGCGCGTGCCCCTTTTTTGAGTAACCTTAACTTGCACATAAAACCCTACACCCGACCCTAAATCCCACCTACCAGCAGGCTCTAAGCCTAAACCAGAACATACACCGCAAATCCTCCCTAAGCCCTTGTCGACTCGAAGCCTTATACCTTGTAACCTCAAAAGCTTAAGCTATACCCTAATTAAACCCCAAAACCCCACAACCACTCCACAGTGGGAAGAGGGTCACACCCCACGAGGGGGGGCCCCACCCTATATCCGGACCATTGATGTTTGGCGGGGGGCGCGGAGCATGTGACCCCATACCCCGCCCTGCCGTGTGCGGAAAGCGGCAATCGGCGCAGTAGTTTCCAGCATCTGACATGAATTGCAATGCTGAATTATGAGGGTCGTATGGCGATGGTGATGGTGGCAGATATTCTTTCGATGGTATTTATGAAGATGACGACAACAAGGATGATGTTGAGCATGGTCTGATTGTCGACTCATGTCCCGGTCCAGAGCAGCGCAACATCATGAACAGCATCACCGGTGCCACAGCAAGAGGGAAGACAAGGAGCAACGCATAAGAACGTCGTGGCAAAAAGAGTACCACCACAGGCCCCACACCACAGGGGGGGCGGGGGGGAAGGGCGGAGGATACCATGGGGTGGGGAGGGGGGAGGGGGGTGTGGCAGCCCTGCATCACATGTATACATATACTTGTTGTTACTTGTACATCAACGTATACCAACAGATTTCTTCCACTTTGGCCATTGCAATACATGCAATCATACAGACAGACAGACACACACGCAGACAGATAGCCAGGCAGGCAGGCATGCGCATAACAAGGCCGTACTCCGCAGTTACAGTCTCCATGTCCCGATCAGATGACTTCAGAGGAGTTTGCAACGTGTGGTCGCTCTTGGCTGAGGTTTTCTTGCGGTTTCGAGTCCGTGCATAGTGCAATCGAACTTTATGTAAATACTCGTAGGCTCCTTTAATGCAGACGGTGATGTTCACGCACATGGCGTGTTCCTGCACGCCAGGCGCAAGACTTGCCATACTGGCATATGTCTGAGGCACGGGAGCATTTTGCAAGTTTCCTGCACGATTGCTGCTTCTGCTTTCATCTAGCTTTTGCAAAGGCACTTCCTGCGAGCGGATTCATGCATTGAAGCCGCAAAATGACCCGCATCAGCTGAGCTTGACTTGACATCAGTTCGGAAGACATGTCTCGCAACTGGCAAACTACACCGAGCTCCGAATTTCATCGCAGCAGTGCCTTAGTGATAGACTACATAAAGGACTTCTGACATAGCTGCAGCCGGTTATCAAAGCTCTGGTTACTACCCCTTGCCGAGACTTGCGTGACGCCATGTTGCAACTGGCGCGTGGCTGGTTGCATGACCTGACTGCCGTGGAAACAGCACTCCAGGCATCTGGGACGCACAAGCACGTTTGGAGGAGGTATCTTATGTATCTTCACGTCAGGCAGCAGACCGACTAGGGCCCAATGGTCCAACGGTCAAAGGCCGGTTTCTCGTCGAATTGAATTGTCCCCGCCCGTGCCTGCAGGCTGGCCAAAACCGCTGCTTCGCGAATGCTTGGTGGGCTGGAGGCCTTCGGCAACACAGCAGCAACCAATAACACGAAGACTATAAAAAAACAAGATGATGCTACAGCCGCCGTCCTTGTAATCGCCACGAACACCACAAACGGCAATCTCAATGGCGAAGACAAGTGACGACGACAACAGGCCCAGCTCGATAGAAAAACACCGCAAACGGTAATGAGTAGAGTTAGACGAAAAGTATCATCGATGCCAAGGCAAGCCACTTTGCGAGCTACGCTTTAGTAGCCACAGTGTCAGTATCGGCCGGCATCATATGTGAAGCCTCGTGATGATGCTGGCCACTACGGCGGCAGCACCGATGACACCGTTGACTAGCAGTTCACGCAGACGATCGCACGACCTCATGGCATCGGCGGTACCGCTGTCCAAGAAACCGGAAGGGAGCTTCTTCTATGTCCGTCAAATCTCCAGGCCCGAAGCCGAAGGGCCAAAAGAAAAGGCCAAAGTTCATTCGCGACCCGGCTCATGCAGAAGCGTCTGCGTTGTCTTAGTGTGTGGGGAGTGAGGGGTGGCAAGCCGTGAGTTGTGCTTGCGTGGTGCATGCGAAGCCACTGCCGTGGGCGTAGCGCTTTAAGAGTTGCCGAAGTCAATGTGTTTGTCAACTAAGGTGTGGGCCAATCTCTTTATCGAGTCTGCAGCCCAGTGGAGCCATCATCAGTTCGGGGTCTAACGTTGGCTTTTCAGAACCCAGAATGGGAAGTGACTGACCTTAAGCCCCAAAAAGCTAGGCATGCAGCCCAGGTCAACGGAAACTACCGTTTGGCCTACCGACGGTTCTACGGCAGGGACATTACCATGCAAGAGCAGTGCCTAGGCAGCCTCAATAGTAGTAGAAATAGCAAGACGCATAGTACTACGACAACAGTAACAGCAACAACAGAGATGGTATTGCTGCTGCTACTACTACTACTACTACTACTACTACTACTACTACTACTACTACTACTACTGCGCCTACGCCTTTTCACTCCTACTCCTAGTCCTCCTCCTGCTCCTGCTTCTGCTGTTACGAATACAGCGACGACGACTACTACTGCTACTCCTCCTCCCCATGGATCCGTGCTAATGCCGAAGACATCCGCTTTGAAGTTTTCAAGAGCTTGGACTGGCTGGAACCAGCTAAGTCGCCGCGGAGCGGAGACAGGTTGCTGGTGAAACACAAGGAGAGCAATGCTGATGAGTACAATGATGATATTGTGTATCATTGTGATGATGATGATTATGACGCTTTTGAGTGTTACTGTTGTTATGATGATGATGAGGAGTATGATAATATTGTGTATCACTGTGATGATGATGGTGATGAGTATGATGATATTGAGTATGTTGTTATGATGGTGATGAATATGCTGATATTGTATATCACTGTGATGATGATGTTGATGGTGACGATGATTATGATGATTTTGAGAAGTGCTGCTATGATGATGAAGATGGTGATGAGAATGATGATCTTGAGTGCTATTGTTATGATGATGATGTTGATGAGTATAGTGATGTTGATGAGTATGATGATGTTGTTGAACATGCTCGCGATTAGCCCCCCTCACCCCAGGTCAATGATGAAGTTGATGAGTATGAAGATGTAAAACAGGTGTTATGACTGTGTTTTAGGTCGTTGTCTGCATGGTCTTTGTTTGAAGAGATAAAGACGTATAAACACGGAAGTACTGTAAATACCAACACATCCAGGCACTCAAACAAAGTCGTGGAAGTCCTAACAGCAGGAAAAACATGGCGTCAAATAAGGCCTAATGCCCTAGTAGTAATAGTAGTAGTAGTAGTAGTAGTAGTAGTAGTAGTAGTAGTAGTAGTAGTAGCAGGAGTAGTAGTAGTAGTAGTAGTAGTAGTAGTAGTAGTAGTAGTGGTAGTAGTAGTAGTAGTAGCAGTAGTAGTAGTAGCAGTAGTAGTAGTAGTAGTAGTAGTAGTAGTAGTAATAGTAGTGGTAGTAGTAGTAGTAGTAGGAGTAGGAGTAGTAGTAGTAGCAGCAGCAGTAGTAGTAGTAGCAGCAGTACTCGTAGTAGTAGTAGTAGTAGTAGTAGCAGTAGTAGCAGTAGTAGCAGTAGTAGTATTAGTGGTAGGAGGGGGCCTCTGACAATCTATGCATCGGCCGCTCTCGTTTGTTCGCCAAAAGCTGCTGCGCAGCAGACGCACGTGGTTCGCAAACCTTAAAGGAAAGTCCCGTCTGACCGCACAGCCGGCAAGCATGCTTCGCTTGAGGCATGACTTCCACTTGATCCAAAAAACACGTTTCAGGGCGCTCGGCTCAGAGCAACGTGTGAATGCTTAAATGCCGTCCCTGCCGTGTGTTTCTGCATGTGAATGCACAAAAAGCACGGCGTCAAATACGCGCAAAGCGCGTACTACTAGTACTACTAGTACTACAACAACTACTACTACTACTACTACTACTACTACTACTACTACGACTGTACTACTAGTACGACGACTACGATGACTACGAATACTACTACTTCGACGACTGCGACGACTAGTACTAGTACTAGTACTACTACTACCACTACTACGACGACCGCTACCTCTACCACTACCACTACCGCAAAACCTAGTACTAGCAAAGCACCAGCACAAGCACTGTGCCGACCACGAGGACGACGACAACTAACACTAGACTACTACGAACACGAGGGCGAGAACGAGCACTAGCACCGCCAGCACCACCATCACGACGATGACTGCTGCTACTGCTACTACTACTGCTACTACTACTGCTACTACTGCTCCTACTCCTACTACTACTACCACTACCACCTACTACACCTACCACACCTACTACTACTTCTACTGCTACTGCTACTACTCCTATTCCTACTCCTACTCCTACTCCGACTCCGACTCCTACTCCTACTTACTACTACTCCTACTCCTACTCCTACTCCTACTCCTACTCCTACTCCTACTCCTCCTGCTACTACTACTACTCCTACTCCTACTCCTACTCCTACTACTGCTACTACTGCTACTCCTCCTACTCCTACTCCTACTCCTGATGCTGCTGCTGCTACTACTACAGATACGACTCGCACCACAGTAGTAGTAGCAGCAGCAGCAGCAGTGACTAGGCCGTGCCTGTGTTGGGTTGATGGAATGAGCGGCATAGCAGTTTAAGAGTACTACCGACAATAAAGGTAGTAATACTAATATTGCTGTTGAGAGGCAGTATGTTAAAAGAAAAGGAACAATCAATACCAGCAATAAGCTGGAGTACTGGCACCAAGAAGAGCCTACGCTAAACGTGATTTTTTGGATAATCTAGCCTTCGCTTTGAATCTCCGATGGATGATTTGGAGGCGGGCCAGGGATGTGGTTTGGGTGTTTGTCTCTCGAAGTTTCGTTTCAGAGTTGGTGGTCTTTGCTTTTTGTTCACGCTTTGGGGCGGCCAAGTTTCACAACCCACGCCCAAAAGGTATGACCATGCAGCGCGGCGGCATCACCTAGTGCAGAATCTGAAGGATAGGTACTTGGTCAAGGCAGGACCGGTTCGCATTTTCTTGGGAGGCTTGGGGCTTGGCAGATGGGTTTACGGCGTCAGGGCTTTAGGGTCTCCGGCACAAAAGGCCTAGCCCACTTGTTCCGAACTTTCTTGACTTGCTGCTACATCGGACAAACAAGGCAAAGCCTCCGTGGCTCATAGGTCTTTACTTCACCATGGCAATAATTACTACACTGTCCGACAGTAAACTAACCAGCATGTTGCTGCAGTGTCTGGTCGGTTGCTACGTGCCGGCCAGAAGGGATCGACTGTGCAGCAAAGGCGTTGCATGCAAACGGTTCTGATACAGACCGTTGCATGGAAAAGCCTCAGGCAAACGCAAGAATTTATACGGCATTATATAGGGAGCCAGATCTCGCGTGCTGTCGGATGGGAAGAGGCATTCAAGCGGAAGCACGAGAATGTTTCAATGTCTGTCGCACCGGGTTTGTTGAAAATGGACCCTTGGAACAGAACATTCCTGTCCAGCTATAGCCTTTTGGGGTCTCAGTGCTTTGTGGATCCTCAGAGATTGATCCTTGCAGGCTTCTTCCAGCCCTCCGCATGCCAAACCGGCGAGTCGGGACGTGCTCATCTACCCCTACGAGCGCTCCAAGTGAGCCTTTCATTCCGCAGACTTCGAAAGTTGGTGACGAAAGTGCAGTGGTGAGGCCCTACCCTGACCCTGGCCCCAAGCGTGTGTTGAATCTTGAACAGAGCTTCTGCAAGACCCTCAACGTGCTATTTGTTGTTACACTGCAAGCTATCGGGCCGGCAATTCTGACTGCATCCGTGCAGAACTGAGCTTGCTGCCCTGTACACCACATTGGCTGCCGCTACTGCGGCCTTATCGTCACTTGATTGCTTTCCCCTCCACTGTTTCTCTCAACAGCCGGATGAGATCCGGGGCAATACGGCCGAGAAGTAATGGGAAGCAGGCGGCGCGCAGAAAGAAGTGCTGAGCCATGTCGCTCGCAGCAGAGGTCTGTGAATTGGAGGTTTTCTGACACCATGCAATCTCCTTGCTTTGGTGTTTAGATGTTTTGCAAAGGCACCCATGTGCTTGCACTGGAAGTTTGGAACCACTGCAATGCCGTGCACCTCTCGGGCATCGCAGCCTACTTTCAACATAAAGCTGAAGCTTAGATCTTGGGCCATGCACAGGCTGTCATTCTGCAACTCGTGGCCTGTTCGGCACAAGCTCTGGACAATGCCTCGGATAAACTTCACGGTCTCCAGGGTTAGGCTTTTCAGGTTCTGCTTCCACTGTGAACCATGGGTCATCTAGGAGCCAACTGAGCTCTGAGAGTCCTGTCCGGTGCGGCAGCGATGCTGGCCTTGACAATCATAAAGGGAACTCCAGAAAGTTGGAATATGGTTTCAGGGTAGGATACCTTCTAATCTACCATAGATTTTAAAGGGTTTAGGATAATCATATTCCAACTTTCTGGCTTTTACTTTACACTTGTATTGCAGTGTCTTTTCTCATAGTACGTACAGTATAGTTTAAACAGCTCTTTTATTTCACATGCATACATACCTACATACACATAAACATGCACGGTGTGTGTGTGTGTATATATATATATGTACATATGTAGGTACATATTCACATATATATATATATGTGTATATGTATACATACATGTATATAGAGTACATCACGTTAACTTTCCATCAGCTTGGCTACCAGCTATCATGACACACTCGCCGTCATGAACCTCTTTGACATAGGGGTCTAGATATTTAGTAAGTATAAAATGAGAAACCCGACAACCTTATTCCAATTATCAAGGTCTCTGTGTGAAAAGCCCGGAAAACCATTCACCCCATAGAAGGCCAAACACGACCCTGAAATACCCCTCAAAACCTTGTAACAATCTCACAAAGCTTAATACAAACCCTCTAACCCATAAACTGCTATCAACACCTGTCTAGAATCCCATTCAAATTCTTAAGGCCCATGAAAACCTGTCTAAAATCCCATTCAAAGTCTTATATAAGGCCCCAGATACTACTGAGGCTCACGTGCCAGCCTTCAAGGCCGAGCAAAGCTGCGGGGCTTCCGGCTTGGTGCCATGGGTCAGGTGATGCCTTTAAGGGGTTTTAGGGCGTTTGGAATTGAGGGTTTGGAGGTTTAAGGGTTTTTGGGCCCAGGATTTGGAGAGTTTGGGCTATAGGGTTTAGAGGTTTTAGGGTTTTAGGGCGTAGGTTTTGAGGCTTTGGGGTTTTCGGGTTCTAAGGGTGTAACTTTCGACTTACGGCATGACAGGTATGACCCCGCAGTCAAGCTTTGCCCGTAAAGCCACAGCCCGTATCCCACAGTTGGAGAATGAGATTTGGGGTCCAGTTCTGGGTGTGAGGGTTGTGTGTAGTTG